GCTCTGGAAGAGAGTCGTTACAGGTAAAGAGATCATCTTTGAGGATGGCCCCTAAGCAGGATAGGTTAGTTTGCTGAGACACAGAATGAAGGCAGGGGTTCAGCGCACTACAGGGAGAATGGTATGAGTGTGGCTTGTGGGTTAGACAGAGGGCCAGGTTAGGTGGGCAAGGTGTTTGGGTTTCATATTTTTTCCTATTTTTTTATTATGTTATGTTAATCACCATACATTACATCATTAGTTTTTGATGTAGTGTTCCATGATTCATTGTTTGCATATAACACCCAGTGCTCCATGCAGAACGTGCCCTCTTTAATACCCATCACCAGGCTAACGCATCCCCCCACCCCCCTCCCCTCTAGAACCCTCAGTTTGTTTCTCAGAGTCCATAGTCTCTCATGGTTTGACTCCCCCTCTAATTTCCTCCCCTTCATTTTTCCCTTCCTACTACCTTCTTTTTTTTTAACATATAATGTATTATTTGTTTCAGAGGTACAGGTCTGTGGTTCAACAGCCTTACACAATTCACAGCACTGGGTTTCATTTTTTTTTAAAGTGTAATGGATATTCAACAGATTGTCTCATGAATTGGAATGACATATATGAATTATACTTTTAGAAGGTTAGAGTTCCTGTTGTGTGAAGGATGTTACTGGAAAAGAGCAAAAGTGGAAGCTGGAAGACTCACTGGAAACTAGGTAAGAATTGGTGGTGACATGGCTTGCACCAGGACAGGGAGGGTGGAAATGGAGAGAAATGCCCAACTGAGGGTATGTTTGGGGGAAAGAACCAATAGGACCAGCTGAAAAAAAGATGTATGGGGACAGAGTGACTGAAATGAAGAACAAAATATGGATTCTTTCCTTAGTCTCCCACACACATAATCATGCATCTGTAGTAGTTCTAGTTACTAGCATTTGCCTAGCACTTTATAATTTGCCTACTACTTATTCCATAAGGCTTAGATTGTAAAATTGTAGAATGTCAAATTTGGATGATGCCACAACATTGACAAATTCTGACTCATGCTGTAAATCTCGTCTCTTGTCTTACCTTCTCTGGATACATCCCTCGACTCCATCCTCATGTAAGACTTAGGAAGACTCTTCTACACTATTTCTTACATATGCTTCCATAACAGCAACGAATTTTTATTTTTATTATATTTTATCATTATCTCCCATAGACTGAGCTCCCTGAAGGCAGAGGCTTTTTAAAAAAAAATCTCTAGAGGGGAGGAGGCTGGGGGGATGGGTTACCCTGGTGATGGGTATGAAAGAGGGCACGTACTGCATGGAGCACTGGGTGTTATGCACAAATAATGAATCATGGAACACTACATCAAAAACTAATGATGTAATGTATGGTGATTAACATAACATAATAAAAAAATGGGGGAAAAATAAATAAAAAATAAAAAATAAATCTTTGTAACTCTTATTACATAGTATTTGCAGAATGAGTGATGAGCACACAAATGAAAAAGTATTTGGTGCTTTCCCTTTACTTAAGCTATGGCAACTTGTCATTCTATCACTTCTTAATTATCTCTGGTAGTCATCTTAATACTTACAAAGGCAGCCTATTCCATTCAAATAGGTTTAAATATTGGGAAGTTTTGACATTAAGTTATAATATTCTTTCTTAAAATTTTCACCTTTGATTTCAGTTATCTCCACTCATTAAATGGATAAGGATATAAAGTTTAAAATGACTTTTATCACATTGTAGTGATAAATGAGTTACAAAAGTTTAATATAGAACATCCTTGCATTGTATAGGAAGTAGGACTGATATGAAATCCATCAACTTCCAGAACTCAACATTATATTTATAGAACTCTGACATTCAATTTGTAAGAAAGAGTATTATGAAGCATATATTAGAGTCCCAGAAGGAATAACTTATAACCTAACCTGACCTGGAAGTGGGCTGAGAAAAGGGGAAAAATATTACCATCAGCCGTCAATCTTCCCATTTTATAGAAGTTATCTAATTATCTTCAAATATCAAAAATATTACGTTTTAAATGTATACATACATATATATGTATTTTAAATTTATACTACTTAAAAGCAATTAAGCATTTCCCATCATAAACGAGTTCTGATTGAGAATTTTACAACCTACTATTCACATCTTTCCAGTCAGAATCTTTCTAGTAACAATACTTCTTTCTATACATGCAGAAAGCACTGATGAGCAAAGAAGGGCATACTATAGGCCCAGCATATTTGGGTTCAAAGGCAAAGCCCTATTAGTCCTGTGACTTTAAGAGACGATTCCTATTCTGATTGGAAATCTCCATTCTTCATCTCTGTAAAATGGAGATAACATTCTTTTCTCATGAGTTTATGATAAAGTTTAAATGAGAGAATTAACATAAATCTTGTAACATACAGACTTGCACAAACCACTCAACATTATGAAGTAGTTAATTATTACTATTATCTTATCAAATAATTAGCTACTCCAGGAAAGTCTGTCAGGAATTGTGAAGGAAGAATTCTTAAATGGGGCTGGAGCAGGCAGAGTCAAAAGTACATCAGGGGTCACATAATCCAAACAACTTGACTCTGTGATATAAGTATCTTTGATTGACAGTTAAAAAGCTTAAATATTGACTACTCTACCTTGAGGAGATTTACATTATCATTTATAAAATTATTCTTAATCTATAAAAGACTCCTAACAACTATTGCCTCCTATATAGACTAGGATGTGAAATTTTCTTATTAGATGGTTTATTTACAACTACCTTGTATTATTCATAATGATACAACTAATTGCTGACATTTAGAAGTCATTTACTCTGAACCTGGGTCCGTGCTAAAGTCTTTACAGGGGGTGGCCTTATTTAATCTTTAAAACACCTAAATAAAATGGATATTCTTACCCACCAGCTTTTTTGGGGTTATAAACTAAAATTTGGGGAAGACTGTTCACCATGTGGCAGGTACTGTTCCAAGCCCTGTATAAATATTAACTCACTTAATCTTCAAAATAGCCCTATGAGGCAAATTCTATTATCATCCCTATTTTACAGATTAGGAAATCAAGGCTCAGAGTCTTTAAATATTTTACCCAAAGTCATATGGCTAATAAATGACATTATCAAGATTCCAACCCAGGCAAACTGGCTCTTGGGGTCATCTTCTCAGCAACGCAAGATGTTGTTCCTGAACAAGGCAGAACCAACAGTCTTCACAGTCCATATTCTCAGCTACTTGGCTACATTATCTCAGTTTTATAATCTTCATTTTAAAAAGGACAAACAGAAACTCAGAGGCTGGACAATTTGGCAAGGACACACAGCTGATCCATGCTTGAACCTGTAAGCTGTGCTCCTTCCTCTTTTTTAATAGTAAGAGTTCGATCTTTCAAATGGAAACCACTAAATTTGTATCCACTGGATACTTTCTGACAAACAACCAAACAAGTGTGTGTTTCTTCCCAGAAGATGCTGGCCAACCTGGGAGATACAGTCCTTCTGCTTAGATTTGCACTTTCCTGTGAAATTCATTTGTGGTGATTTGAAATGACTGATGCCTCTACAGAATATATTTGAGATGCATGAGTGGGCTGAGTATGGCTTATTTAAAACTTTATGATTTTTTTCTTACATATTTGGAATGTGGATTATGATTTCGACATCTTAAATTCTCATTTGTCAGATAGGGACTCTGGAGTTAGAAAGAGCTGACTCCCATCTGATCCAAAGACAAAGGTTTTAAATGAATTGCTGCTACTAAAGGCAGAAAAGCAGACTTAAAAAAAAGAGCTGAAATGCAATAATTAGAAACTTGCTTTGCCGAGTACATAAAGCATCAGAAAAGCACTTACAATTTTCACCGAAGGAAAACAAATCCTTATAATTATTTCCTTTCCTTAAAAAACCTATACATTTAATAAATTTAATATGCTTTTAAGCTATAAAATATTGACGCTTACTTAATTATAGCAGGTCCTACTTCCTATTCAGAAAATTTCTTTCCCGTTATTGAACTGCCAACCTGCCGAAAGGGCAGACATTATTCTTCCCTAAGCATCTCCTCACAGAAAAGACAGTGAATAAAAATGGAGACAAAGCAGCAACTGACACATTTCTGATCAATTAAAACAAACGACACACTAGGCAAAATGTGCTATTTTTATAACTGTCTAGTAGAATGAATATTTTAAAATATAGCATATATTGGCATATTTTAATCCTTATAAAACAAATAGTTATAATGCAAAAACAAATTAATACATGAAGCACAAATATAATAATTATGTAGATTCTTATTTTGGCCTAGCAACTTACGCTTAGCTACAGGAAAGTAATATAAATTTTATGCTGGGAAAGCAATGCCTTATAAGCAACATTTAACAAACACAATGTGCCAGAATATATAGTAAACATAGGCATTACCCCTGTTATTCTTCTCAACTTTTTAGGTACTGTTATTACTATTTGACAACTGAAGAAAATGAGACGAAGAGACGTTAAGTAACTTGTTCAAAGTCACACAACTGGTAAGAGCCAGAGCAGGGCGTTCAATCCACGTGCGTCTGGTTCCAGAGCCTGCCCCTTTAACCGTCATGACATACTTTCTCCCAAGGGTGAAAACAAAAATATCTGTAAACCCTCTAAAACCGAGAATTATTTTAAAAGACTAAGAATAAAAATAGTAGTAGAAGTAGTAATAGTAATAGGCACAGGAGAGAGTCATGGCGTCTGGGTTTCACTTCACCTCGGAGCACAAGTAAGTTAACCTCTGAAGGCCTCAAGTTCTTACAAAGAAGGGATCAGAGGGCGGAAGGGGAGCGGGAAGAGGCCTAGGGCGTATTGGATACTTTTTTCTTAAAAAATGAAATCCTAGTTTTTTATCTTCAGAACGGAAGTGTTCCACAACGATGACGTAAATAAAACACAGCTCTAGTCACCGTCGTCGTGACGCGCGGAGTAGGAAGACCCGCAGAAGTTCACAACCGTGGGCGCGTAGCGGCCACCTTACCTGTAGATGAATGGAGCCACCGTGGCCGTGTTGGGGTGGCTGTGTTGCTGCTGCTGGGGGAGGTGGACAGCACCGTTCCCCGTGGCCTGCCCCCCGCCTGGTGCCACCAGCACAGCACAGGAGCCGGCGGGAGGGGCGTGGCTGGCTTCCCTTCCTTCCAAAGGAGCAGGGCAATTGGATGTGCTTGCTTTCTCAGTGCTCGTGGGCTTAGGTAAGGACTGGGAAGGGCTTCCCTTGGTAGTCCTGAATTTCTCCGACTCTTTGCTCATTGCACTGCCTGGTGAAACGGTCTGCTTTGCTGTGGGCACCTTCGAGCCCGGTTTTGGAATGCCACTGGAAGAGGGGATTAGGCTTTCTTTCTTGGCCGCTGCCGTCTTGCTACCCTTTGGGATCAAGCTTGCAATTTTAGAGGTCTTTTTCGGAGCTGTCTCTGTCACCTGATCCTTCTCGTCCTTGACTGGTTTTTCAGTGCAAACTTTATTTTTGTCCCTGTTCTTTTCCTCTTTTTCCTTTGGCTGTAGCAAAGACTTTTTATTGCTGAGATTTTTGCTTCCAGCTTTTGGAGGGGCTAATTTAGGGGACACTTTGGGACTGCTATTGGTTGAGCCACCACTATTCAGACCACTGTTAAAACCTTCCATCTCACCAGATTCAGAAAAGGCATCGTCATCCTTCCCCCCATCACTGGGCCCCAAGCTGGGAGACTGTGGGGGGCGTAAAGCAGTCCGCGCATTGACCAGCTTGAATTTTTCAAGCATGGATTTCTGTCCCGTGGAGGCTGTTTTGACCCCTTCTGAGACAGGGGGCTTCAGTCTGTCTGCAGGTGGTGTGGGGGAGGTGGCTGGGCTGGACTGCTTCACGGTCAGCATGGTGGAGGTGGCGCTGTGCTTGACATTCATGGACTTGCTCCGCCAGGGCTTGCTGGCGCTCGGAGAAGGGATGGCAGAGGCGGGGGGCTGCCCCACGGTGCCAGGGGGCTGCGTGTTACCATTGACACCTGAAGATGGCTGAGGTCCTTTGGAGGAATCTGGACATGAAGACAAAATAATAAAGAAGAGGTTGATGACATTTGCTCATGTATATCATACCCCTGAGTATTTCTAACCACAGACACAGTTAAGGATCTCTCCTGTGAGCTGAATGCAGCCATGCTATGTGGCATCAATCACTTCGGTGATGTGGTGGTTTTTATATCGTACATCAAAAGTTCAGGATCTGAGAGCCATTAATTTTGGAAAACAACTTTTCCTTTTTCCCTTCTAAAATTACTCTTACCTAAATGAACTTGGCTAGTCATAGATATCTAAAGACAAAACATCCTCCTTCCCTTAAGCAATTCTTCACATTTTTTCCAATTAATGCTGTAGCTCATAGCAGTAAATTGATTCTGCATAGCCTTATAAAAATATGTTGTATAAGAAATGTTGAGAAATTATTTTACCTTACAGGGAGACTAGCTTATTGTTATCTGATTAAAAGTGCTTATGAATCATGACTCAGCTCTTAGTTAATATTGTTTACTTTTATTTGTATAAAAAAGCATTGAAATTTAGGCTTATATGGGTCCGATAACCTACCAAGATACATATATATGTAGTTGTATATATTATATATACGTTATATATTTATATACAGTATATATGTATGTTTAGATATATTCATATTATATAAGCATCATACAATATATATATTATATAAATCCTTATAACAACCCTACAAGGTAGGTATTGATATTTTATCCCTATTTTACAGAAAAACTGCATAACTTGTTCAAGGTCACCCAGCCTGGATGTGAACAGAATTCAGAGCTGGTGCTCTTAACCAGCACACCTCTAGCCACCTGAGGTGAACAAACTTTAAATATTAATGGAAACTCAAGCTATTTTGGGGGGGGGCTATGGAAATAAGGCCTTGTCCTTTAAGGACTTTATAATGCACGTGTTTACTTACTTTCTGCTCAGAAATCTCATTATAGTACAAACTCTTCTATGACTGTTCTAACATTGATTAATGCCTGATTACAAGTCTCATTTTTAAGTATGAAAAACCAAATCAAAAAGAGATTTTATAACATGGCATAAAATAGAAAAAGCTTGGAGTTTAAAGACCTCAGGAAAAATGTTAATTAACATTGGGGAGCAATAGAATTCTGATCGTTTACTTTAAACCTCATCTACCGTAAAAGCCTCCTACTTTCATCTTTTTTCTTTGAGACATGAAATGATCAATGATTAAATTAGATATTTGCATCATTTAGTACTGCTAACAAACTAGACATTGATAAATAGATGCAGAGCTATTTTTGATGAAATGTCCAGTGGAAATATTTTATAAATAATACACTTTCCATAATGTTCAAGAATTGGAGCCCATTCAATTTCATTAAATATTCAGTCATTAAGCGTCTGCCTTCGGCTCAGGTCATGATCCCAGGGTCCTGGGATCGAGCCCCGCATCGGGCTCCCTGCTCTGCAGGAAGCCTGCTTCTCCCTCTCCCACTCCCCCTGCTTGTGTTCCCTCTCTCGCTGTGTCTCTCTCTGTCAAATAAATAAATAAAATCTTTAAAAAAAATTATTCACAACAATAAACTACAATGTTTTTATTTTTAAATGTTTTCTTCAAAATGCATGCAAAATGATATGTAATCAAGCCAATTAGTACCAAATACTACTCGACAATTTTTCATAAAGGGAAATTAATATGCAAAAAGAGAAAATAAGGAAATTAGAGACACAAAAGGTTAAATTACTTGTTGAATATTGGTGGGAGTTAAACTTTTTTAAAATAAGTGTGCCTAAAATGATATAAAAGATTTGTGAAATTTATGTTAATAAGAATAGACAAATGCATTTTATATTTAATAATTTTTTCTACCAAATTTTTATTTAAATTCCAGTTAGTTAACATAGAGTATAATATTTGTTTCAGGCATAGGATTTAGTGATTCATCACTTACATACAACAACCAGTGCTCATCACAAGTGCCCTCCTTAATATTTGTTTTAAAAATTGGTATACCAACATTAATTCTAATACTCTTTACTTTTCTACAATTCCATATTTCGGCTGGCAAAAGTTAATGTAAGACTGTACATACATACTCTACATTAAAATGTAATAGTTACTGAAAAGTCAAAATGCTTACATGGTATATATAAATTGTACAGCCTATGATGATAAATTGATGTTTTTCAGTACTCCTGTAAAGTCTGTAATTGTGTCCATTTCTAGAATATTTGTAGAAATCCATTAGGTTCGTACATAAACACTAAGGTGTTCTGAGAAACAGTAGAGTATTGACTAATTCAAGACAAACAAATCCAACAAGCTTCAAAGTATCCAATGTCTCAAATACATTCACTCTCTGTTAATGGATTTCAATCTTTTACTTCAATCTCTTTTAAGTACAGGTAATTCCAAATTTTTTTCACTTACACATTAAGATCCCTTCCAGAGACTGATAACATTTCATCATAATTTGAATCATTCTCAGCAGCAGAATGAGTATACTGACTACCTGCAGTTAGAAATGCCTACCAAGGGGCGCGTGGGTGGCTCAGTTGGTTAAGCGACTGCCTTCAGCTCAGGTCATGATCCTGGAGTCCCGGGATCGAGTCCCACATCGGGCTCCCTGCTCAGCAGGGAGTCTGCTTCTCCCTCTGACCCTCCCCCCTCTCACATGCTCTCTCTCTCTCTCATTCTCTCTCTCGCAAATAAATAAATAAAATCTTAAAAAAAAATGCTTACCAAATATTTCTTCAATATTTCCCATTTATTGGTAAGGTCTGAACTTTGACCTCACTTCCTCTGGAAACAACAACAACAACAACAACCAAAAACCAAAAAAAAAAACAAACCAAAAGCATTATCCCCACCCCCATTTCTGATCATCCCAGCACCAAATCTGGATTCGGTGGCTCTTTTGCATTTTCCCATAGCTTATTATTTCCTCTCTTATAACCATCGTAACTCCAGTGTAATTGCCTGTTTCCTACTCTACTGTACATTCCATTAAAGCAAAGACCATGCCTGTGATTATGTATAGAATGTCTGACATCCTAAGTGTTTAACTTAATAGAGGTTCTCAAACTTTAATGGGCACGTAAGTAACCTGGGGATCCTACTGACTACACACCACATCATGATGCAGCAGATCTGCTGTGGGCCCTGAGATTCTGCATTTCTAACAAGCTCCAGAGGATGACGATGCCTCTGGTCACAAACCATGTTTCGAGCAACAAAGGTTGAATGGACTCAGAAAACACGGCAATTGCTGACATTATCAGCTCTCAAGAATGTTTCTTTTTTTTTAAGATTTTATTTTATTTATTTGACAGACAGAGAGAATGGGAGAGAAGGAACACAAGCAGGGGGAGTCGGAGAGAGAGAAGCATGCCTCCCGCCGAGCAGGGAGCCCGACGTGGGGCTCCATCCCAAGGACCCTGGGCTCATGACCTGAGCCGAAGGCAGCCACTTAACCAACTGAACCACCCAGGCGCCCCTAAAGAATGTGTCCAATGACAGTACCCGATGGGGTTGAATTTGTTAAATGTTCCCTAGCTGTGCAGCATGACTATTCTTTGCGCTTTGAACTTCCAGAACAATGGCCAGTTCCATATTCACTTGATGCTTGACAATTTGTTACAAGGGATACTGCAAACAAAAGAAGCCCATCAGGTTTTCCTGATGGCCACATATTGAGTGTGGATCTTCTGTGTATCTGCAACTGGGTTAAGAAGTCTGGAGAGTCCCATCCCTGCATGCCTGGGAGCTTTGGTGGAAATGAGAGGAAAAGGTGGAAGGGAGTCTGTCAGGATGCTTCTTAAGTGTGCTACCATCAACTAGATAGACTGCTACAACAGTTCAAGTACAGAAGAGGAATTTCAACATCACTACTCTCAAAAATGAGACAGGAGGGACTCCAAATTTTGACATCCACATCCAAACCACAGTCACAGTCACAGAAACAGCTATAAAATCGTTCTCAGAGGAGTACACACATAGAAGCCACTTCTCGAAGCTCAGCTCTTGATCTGTCCCCAGCCTGTCTCTATATAGCAGCAGTGAGGTGCTTCAGGTCTCATTAAGAGGGCAAATCATAGTTGTTGTGCATCACGAAGGAACTGGAATCGTTAACAGTCTCCCTGGACTCCTCACAACCAAGGCTGCACAACAGCAGCTGCTGAAAAGGTAGTGGGTGCAGCTCCTTGGGAGTGGGTACTGCCACAAATTCTAGTCCCCCTGCGATTTCTGTGTGCAATATTCAGGAGCCCGGTCTCGCAGATATAGTTCTGAATGTTGATAACTCAGCTCCTGACTATGAATGAGTTGTTATGAGGTATGAGGAAATGACCCGATATCTAATGCACATATTTAAAGGCATCCTTGCAATGGCTCTGCCTTCAGCCCTGTCTTTTTTTTTTTTTTTTAATATTTTGTTTATTTATTTGACAGAGAGAGAGAGAGAGAGAGAGAGAGAACAAGCAGGGGGAACAGCAGAGGGAGAAGGAGAAACAGGCTCTCTGCCATGCAGGGAGCCCGATGTGGGGCTCGATCCCAGAACTCCAGGATCATGATCTGAGCCGAACCTGCCTTCTTGTCTCTAGCCCCTAAAGAGAAACTTTCTTCCACTCGCTCTCCTTTCCTTCCTCCTCTTCCTCCTCCTCCACATCCTCCATCATCAACTCCATTACAACCAAATATTATTTATCAACTGCTCACTTTTCCCCAAGCACTTTGATACACAGTATCACCCTGAAAGCTCTTCATACATGGGATCTCACTTAAACCCCTAATCGTCTGCAATATACTCATGATTTCTCTTGCCATAAATGGGAAAACTGAAGCTTAAAAAGCAAAAGTAACTTGTTCCAATCCACACATACAGTAAAACTTAGAAAAGAGAAAATCACAATTGGAGCTCAGGTTTTTCTGACTCCAAATTTTGGAGGCTTTTCACTCTTTTTTCTATATGTTCGCTTTTACCCAGAAATTCTGCTGGTGTGGTTCTAGAATGCCACATGTTTG